TTATTATTATCATCATCATTATTGTTATTATTTATGGGCAGAGAAGTGGAGCTATATCTCAGCCTTGTTCTGTTTATGTCTTATTTTATATATATAGTCGGTGTTGACGTTGAGGCACAAGGTTGATTCCAATTTTCTCACTTTTCAGGGCGCTGCACAGTGGCGACCAGCAATGGCATGGTTTTGAAATGGTTCAGTATTTGGGTAATTGTGTATTTATGTATGCATTTATGTATGTGTATGTGTATATACCATCGACCTCATGAGCCACGTAACAAAAATACTACTTAGAATAATTATGATGAGAATACAGAATAAAATTACCCCAGAAATAGTCCAAGAACAGTGTTGATTTATTGAAGGCAAAGGCACTGTAAATGCCATATATGTCACCAGAACAACAATAGAACGTGCCCTGGAGGTTCAGAAAGATCTTCATTTATGCTTTATAGACTACAACAAGGCATTCGACAAAGTTAGGCACGACAAAATCATCGACATACTGGAAGTCCTCAATATTGACGGGAAGGCTTATCAAGAACATGTTTTGGAATCAAACTGCTGCAATGAGAATAGAAAATAACATCAGCAAATACATACAGTTAAAAGAGGGGTCAGACAGTGATGTACACTTTCACCAGACTTGTTCTCCCTGTATAGTTAAAATATCATGAGACACATAGAAGAAATGCCAGGTATCTCGTTAGGGGGACATAACATAAATAATCTAAGATATGCAGACGACACAGTCCTAATAGCAGAAGAACACCTGCAGAACCTATTAAACGTCATTGTACAAGAGAGTGACAACATGGGCCTAAGCCTAAACATCAAGAAAATTAAATCAATTGTGATAAACAGAAAAACTCCAGCCTCAACCTGCAATATCAAAATCAATGGTACCCCCTCAAACAAGTACAACGTCTCTACATATTATATTTGTGAAAGTTCGTCACTTTGGCCGCCTTAAATTTCTGAACCACTTAACTTTCGATTTTGACAAAAATTAATGGTGGTTCAGAATCATGTAAAGGGTGCACAGTTTCATTGGGAAGCCTGAAGTCATTGTAGTTTACTTTTTAGTTTTTCATTAGTTTCGTTTAGATCTAATCTTGGGAAAGTCCGTCTTCTAAGACGCCATTGTAAACTAGTGAAGTTTCTTTTCACTAGCCGTGCGCACTATTTCCACACCTTTGAAATTATGGAGTGTACAATCACGAAAGCGGAACAGAGAATCAATCTATACATTTATTATATATTCAGCAACTTGGAAACACATGTGTCACTTTTGTCTCAAGATTTATTGCTCCATTCCAGTAGAGTGTAAATATAGTGGGCCAATGACTTTCAGTTGATGTTAATGCACTGATCATTCCTTTTATCGAATGGGGCCCCAGCTAGTTTTAAATATTTGGGGACCATTATATCATAAGATGGAAGATGTCACACCGAAATTAAAAGCCGCATTTGCCAAGCAAAAGCAACCTTCAGCAAAATGAAACAGATACTTATAAACATCAGTTTGTCACTGGAAATAAGAAAATGGGTACTGAAAAGTTACATGGAGCCAATCCTATTTAGGTTTTGGTTGAAGCAAAATGCAGTCGACAGCTTATGACGAATATGCGAAAGCGACAGACAAATTTTATTTGACACACAAGGCGGAAAGAAGCATTGGAGAATGTTGTAACAACAGGCAAGTTTGATGGAAAGAGAGGCAGAGGCAGACAGAGGGAACAGATAGTGGACAAGCTGACAACATGGCAGGGAACAGCAAGACCGAAAGACACCATG